ACAAGGACCTTTCTGCTTTTAAGTTCCGGTATTTATACACTATCAATTTATAACAGTCTGTTAAAAAGCTTGTTATTTTGAAACAGAGCAGGGAACATCCTTAAGCACCCATCCATCCATTACTACTTTGTTGGTGTCAATGTGATTACTATTTAATCTTTGTGAACCAATAACATATATGTTACATTTAAAAAATTGTATATTAACGTCTGCTTCTAAAATTAGCATTTGAAATTTGATTGATTGATTGTTGGTGTTTAACGCCACTTTCTGCATTATTGTCTATAGCGTGGAGGTAATTTTGTATTGTCGGGGGAGGTGCCCCGGAGAGAATAATTGACATTCGACAGGAAAACTGACAATAATAGTCAAATAAGATAGGAGTCTAAGAGACCTGTCACGTGCGGGGTTCGAACTCACGACCTCAGTATTGACAAGCTAGTGTTACAGCAGCTGAACTAATTTTCTGATTTTGAAAGTTCTACTCTGGATCAGTTTTTGACAATTCTTTCCTTGAACAGGGTACAACTGTTCTAAGGTAGATTTGTTTGAGAAAACAGTTTAACACACTTATATGCCAGATTATTCAGACTCTTCTGAAGAAATGTTAGACCTGTTCTCAACTGCATACCTCATATCTTCCTTTAAGGTTCATCATAACAAATGGACAAAAATGGCTGTATTTCCACATCAAAAACTACTCTGAGTACAGACTTACCTGTCCAGTTGGAAAAGTTTTAATGCCTGGCATCCACTAGATATATAAAAGTTAAATGCATTTTGTGTTTCAGAAAGTTAAAATCTTTTTTGGATTATGATGGCCATTTTTTTTCATTTCTGCAGAAGGTGTAAAAATAAACTAAGTTGGGATAAAACTTTGAGATGCTCCCTCTCAGGTAAAAACTGTATTGTATTGTCTTGATTGACACAGACAATAGGTATCTACACAACTATAGGTGAGTTAAAGGGTTTAACTGAGTGGACAGTATCAAAGTAATTCAGGTGTTTGTTTATTTTTACACCTGCTGCAGAAAGGAAAAAAAATGCCCATCAAAATCCAAAAGTGATTATATCTTTCTGAAACAAAAAATGCATTTAACTTTTATATATCTAGTGGATGCCAGGCCTTAAAACTTTCCACACTGGACAGGTAGGTCTGTACACAGAGTAGTTTTTGAGGTGTAAATACAGCCATTTTTGTCCATTTGTTATGATGAACCTTAATCATAATCACATAAATAGTTTAATAATACAGAATATTCTTCAATAACATATTCATTCCCCCTTCCGTCCCATTTTCGTTTCCGCACTCTTACTAAAGTTTTTCTCGTCCAAATTTTATGAAACTCATACACAATGCTTAGAACCATAACACACAGACAGAGTTCGAATTTGGGTTGTGATTCATTACCCGTTCTAGAGTTATGTCCCCTTTTAACTTAAAAAAATTGCAAAGCTTGAGCGGAGGCATTCGTGTCCTCAGACACATTCTGCTTATATGTTTATTATTAGTTTCTACATTTATATAATATTAAAACAAGAATAGTCCATAGTATACGGATGCCCCACTCGCACTATCATTTTCTATGTTCAGTGGACCGTGGAATTGATATGTCATCATAGGGAACATGTGTACTAAGTTTCAAGTTGATTGGACTTCAACTTCATCAAAAACTACCATGACCAAAAACTTTAACCTGAAAAACTTTAACCTGAAGCGGGACAGACAGACGAACGGACGAACGAATGAATGAACGAACGAACGAACGAACGAACGAACGAACGCACAGACCGAAAAACATAATGCCCATAAATGGGGCATAAAAATGTAAGCGGTTGAAACATGTTTTCCCATCTGGATTTCACATTGAATATTATGTAAACTTCAGATGCTGTAATGACGAGTTTAATATATATGTATGTTGAGATATATAGTAAGTAAGTAAGTAAATACTTTATTTGAAGAGGGTGTCACTGTAATAACAATAGAGAAAATCTTCCCTGAGGCTCTAATCAATAATAAATCTAAAATAAATAAATATACATTGTACAAATTTACTCTACAGTAGCAGTTTGTTAGATAAAATGTTTCAACGATTTTCTTGTCTATACATTAAACATGCTGTATATTTTAATTTAAAAGTATCAATTATAGTTTCCACAATTTGTTACGAGGTGTAAATAATTCGATAATATGATGTTTGTTTAATGAAAAATTTTGTTCGTAAATCTTAAGTAGCGTCTCCGAAAAAATATTCCCATTATTTCACGATCTCAAAGAATATTTGTAAACATAGCACAAGCAATAAAGTACTGTAAAGTCATGTAACAAAGTTTCGAAAACGGACGTGTACAGCTACAACAGTTCTTTCTGAATTCTGAAAATGAAGCCACTGCCTTTAAAAGGTAGAAGGCTTTAAAGTTTACATTAGATTTTTTTTATATAGAAAAGACTGTAAAGTTTACTTGTATAGAAAGGGCCCTCTGTGGCCGAGTGGTCTAAGTATAATTAATAATTCATCTACAGTGAGCATACGCCTAGCAATCTCTGGTCCTCACTCTTTAACCTACATAAATTTACGACCAACATTTGAATTTAATACTATTTCAATAGGAAACTAGAGGCTCTAATGAGCTTGTGTCGCTCACTTGCATCTTCAACAATGGCCACTTTTTAGTAAAAATCATCATTAAAGGGGAATAACTCTATTAAGAGTTAACTGACAATTTCAGTAATGTTGACGTATTTGTAGATCTTATCCTGCTGATATTTTTTCTTTTTTAAAGTTTCTTTATATCTATTATCAGTTTCAAGACAATTTTAAAAATTAGCATTAAAGGGCAATAACTCCAATAATGAGTCGACTGAAGATTTTGGCCATTATGGCTTATTTGTGGATCTTGTCTTGCTGATCAATTGGGCTATATAAAGTTTCTCTCTTTCTATTACAGTTTTCAAGATAATAGACAAAAATGGGAAAAATCGTCATTAAAGGACAATAACTTCAATACAGAGTCAACTAACAATATCGATCATGTTGATTTATTTGTAGATCTTGTCTTGCTGATCATTTTTTGCTATTTAAAGTTTCTATTTATCTAATATATTTTAAAGACTTTAGGCAAGAACGAAAAAAAATGGTAAACATTGTCATTATAGGGCAATAACTCTAATAAGGAGTTGACTGAAGATTTTGGCCATGTTTGACTTATTTGTAGATCTTGTCTTGCTGATCATTTTTGTCGTTTAAAACTTTTGTCTATCTATTATAATTTTTAAGATAATAGGCAATAGTCATTTTGCTTAGTTTCTTCTGTTACCTATTTTGACATCGGACTTCTATTAATCTGAGTTTTACAGTGCGTATTGCTGTGTATGTATTTGTTTATTCTAAATTGGCTAGAGGTATAGAGGGATGGTTGAGATCTCACAAAACATGTTTAACCCCCCCCCCCCCCCCACCCCCCCCCCCCCCCCCTGCCGCATTTTTGCGCTTGTCCCAAGTCAGGAGGAACCTCTGGCCTTTTTCAGTCTTGTGGTTTCTTTTTAAATTTTGGTTCATTTATATGTTTCGGAGTTTAGTGTGACTTCTATTTTCGCTGAACTAGTACACATCTTTGTTAAGGGGCCAGCTGAAGCCCGTCTCCAGGTGCGAGATTTTCTCGCTGTGTTGAAGACCTCTTGGTGGCCTTGGGCTGTTTTCTGCTCTTTGGTAGGATTATTGTCTCTGTCACATTCTCCGTTTCCATTCTCAATTTAAAAAAAAAAATGATAAAATTCATCATATAAGGGCAATCACCCCTATGAGAGGTCGTCTGACAGTTTCGACATAAAGGAACAGTAGGTAGAGCTCAACATTCTGAACATTTTTCCCCCTTCAGATTTTCTCTATTTATAGCGATTTTCAAAATAATAAGCAAAACCTGCATGTTACTCCTATGTTCTTTTTTAGCCATGTCGGCCATCTTGGTTAACAGACACATTTATCAAACTAGAATGATGATTGTTGCCAAGTTTGGTTAAATTTGGCCCAGTAGTTACAGAGGAGAAGATTTTGATAAAGTTAACAGACGACGACGGACTACGGACGACAAGTGATGAGAAAGGCTCACTTGGCCTTTAAGGCTAGGTGAGCTAATAAAGGTGACGCTAGGTATGCACCAATAAGCGAATGACACATGAGTATAAAATTGAGTCATGTACTGTTAATTCATAAAAAATATACTCGGACTTTCTAACAAGTCATCGTTTTAGATTTAGAACATTGATCTATAATGATTGTCTAAAATGTGATTAAGTCATTCTATAAGTAATCAATTTACGCCCATTCCATCCTACTTCATCACCTATAACATACAAACAACCCATGCTTTATCATTTTGCCTGTTATGGAACTAGCATTTGATTTTTAGGGGGGGTTAGGATGAAAAATTTTGTCCTGCAATTTTTTTTCAATTGTAATCTCTGTCCTGCCTTTTTATTTTTCACTCTATACGGTCCTTCCCTTTTTTTACATAAATTGTCATCCTGCCTTTTTTTTTTTTTGCCAAGTTGCTCATCCTGCCTTTTTTTTTACTCAAAACTCCTGTCCTGCCCCTCCCCCCCCCCGAAAAAATAAAATGGTAGCTCCCTTAGCGGGGGGGGATCCAAAACTTTCAAGAAGAGGGACCCGGGAGACAAAAACTAAAGAAGACGGAGGGTCGACAGTCTAACGATAAGAAAATGTACTTTGCCAATAGTGGGTTATTTGATCTTAATTGATATTATCTTATATTCAGTAAAGAAGTGTTTAGCTCAAAATACAAAAATAATTGGAAGGGATTGCAATCACTTTCTCCTTATTTAGTTCATTTACTAGAAGATTCCTTCCATGGGAACCTCCTTCCATGGGAACGTCTGACCTGTAATAATCCATTGGATGAACATATCGACCGCTTACGTGTAGCTAGTGGAAATGTCTAGATCTTATCTATACAGACTATACAAGTTAAATATCGATCGTGTCAATATATAGGACATGAATTGAATTACAGGCAGCATTTAGGACATAGTTTTAGACTAGTGTATAATACACATAGCTTTGGTTGTTAATACATATTATTTATATTTTATCAGCAATTAAGATATCAACATCAATTCAAAATGCCTGCTAAATTCAAATTATCTTACTTCGACATTAGAGGACGAGCAGAATTACCTCGACTTGTGTTTGCTGCAGCCGGAAAAGAGTTTGAGGACGAGAGATTAAGTGGCGATAAATGGACAGCTTTTAAACCAAGTAAGACTCTTAGAGAGGATAAATTACACGTTTTTTTTTGGATTTGGGATACTTAGGGGTAAAAAATTGTGGATGTTGAATATAGGGGTTAAAACTGGGGATGAGGCATTTAGGGGTAAAAAAAGTGGGATCTGGGAAAAGAAGGGGGAAAAGGGTAAAAATTACAAAAAAAGCCAGATTTGGGAAATGACACCCCAAGTAAGATAAGATCAATTATATTTCATCATATATAAAACGGTTCATGTGAGGTCAACTTCTATTTAAGCGGTTTCTGTGACTATATTGTGGGTGGGTGTGGGGGGCGGGGGCTTGGTGGATTTATTCTATTATCAAATTGTTTGAATTTTATATTCTAATAAAAAATATCATTTCAGAAGGGAAAGTGGGAACGAAAAAAAATATTTTGTATAAATCATTTTATAGTAAGAGAAAAAAATATATAGCAAAGTAAGGTTCAAACTAATATTGTGTTCCCGTATCTTATTGATAAAAAAAAAAGTTTGACCCGAGAGAAAAAAACTACGCCCCCCCCCCTCCCATCCCACCACCACCCTACCTCCACCCCTTAAAAAAAGAGGAATGATCGATACCATACTGCGAACTTTATAAAATTATGGCCATCATCAATAGATGTTATTCACAATTATCAAATCGAGAAAAGACTATTTTCAAGAGGTCCGCAAGGTCGAAGGGAAAAGACTATCAAATTGAATATTTTTACCTTTTTACCTCGGGTGTAATACGACAAGAAAAACCTTACAATATGCATTATCTATAACTTATTTTGCCTACGCGCAGTTTCCTGTGGTAAAGAGGTGGTTATTTTTGGGGTGATTTTTTATTAGTGGTTACTATACTAAGTTATAGTAATATTATATTGATAACGGGGAATCTATTATTTTTAATGAACTATCGGTTATACATGTTTAATCTTGTTCTGCATGGAATCAATATACATAATATGAAAATTATGTACACATGACTTGTACTTTTTCCGACACTTTAAATGTCCAAATCTCGTTACAGTGCAAAGCACCATTTAAAATAGACTATTTTCATATTACCGACTTTTGACTCCGGATTATATAATTTGTCGACTGGTTACCTTGGACATCATGGTACCAAGTCAGGTAAGAGCAAGCTAAAGAAGTAAAACCAAGCTTTCAATCGGTACAATTTTGGGGGAAAATTACCTGCTTAACATTTTTTTTTCACTACAAAATCATCGGAAAACAGTAAACTTTCCCCTCAAATTACACCGATTATATGTTTGATTTTACTTATTTTGGTTGCTCTTACTTGACCGAGTACCATGATGTCCAAGGTAACCAGTCGACAAATTATATAATTCGGAGTCAAAAGTCGGTAATATGAAAATAGTCTTAAGGTTTATAAATCCTTGGGAAAGTTTATGTATACCGAACCTCTACATAGCTTGTTTGTCAAGAAGAAAACAAATATTTAGATAAAATTAATCGCGGTTTATTAGCTATCTATGATATTGACAAAAAATTGTAATTATTTTGCAAATTTTATTTGTTATGTATAATATATGTCATCACTTTAGGAATTTCTAGACCAAAGCAGGTGCATTACATGTTTGAAAAATTCAAGTTTATGTGCAGGTTCTTAAGCAATACTGTCTTTTTTAAAATACATTTAAATGAGTGGCTGAAAGGGGAGCATACTCTGTCTTTAATTAGCTTTAATTTTTCCTTTGTCTGCCAATGATTGGTGGTTTAAAATGATAGTATTCATGTATTGAAGGATATAAGATTTCTATTGTTAATAGTATTACGTAATTATTCTATTATATGCTGAGTCAACCGTTAACGTAGACAGACATGCGATATTCGGTATAGACACACATCATTTATGAACGTAGTGCAATGTTCATTGTTCATATTAAACACAATAAGGTATTCATTAATATACTATATTATATAACCAATGTTTAACCGATTCAGGAGGGTCTGGAAAAAGAGAGGTGTATTTTTTTATTTTAATTTTTTTAGTTGAAGACCATTTTTATTCATTTCCCGCTATTTGCTATTAGTTGTCCATTATTCTCTATAATACTAATTCTTTATTTATCATCACCCAACTATTTTCATTTCTTATAATGTTGAGTTGTTTTTTTTTTTCGTTTTTTTTTTTTTTTTTTTTTCCAGCGAGTTATTTTTTCATTCAGACCCTCGTACAAGAATTCTTTCAAATTTAAAATAAACGTGCTTACACAGCAGGTTTGTAATTGGGATTAAATATGTCCTCGTATTTAAATTTTAACTTTGAAGGTCGATCAAAATTAATCGAATTGCAATCTTATAAACGGATTCAAATAAGAGCTCGCAAATCATGTTTTTATACATTGGAAATTCAATGGCAGAAATTCAAACAAAGGGCAAAAATAACTTATTTATAAATGTACATGTACTGAATGTCATTAGATGCGTTTCACTGTCATGTAAGGGAGCTACCATTTGATTTTTATGGAGGGGCTAGGATGAAAAATTTTGTCCTGCATTTTTTTTTAGTTGTAATCTCTGTCCTGCCTTTTTATTTTTCCCTCTATTCGGTCCTGTTTTTTTTTTTTTTAAGTCCTGCCTATTCCCCCCCCCCCCCCCCCCCCCCCCCATAAAAATCAAATGGTAGCTCCCTAATGTCCTAAAATAACGTCAAATCACTGAAATACTCTCTTTCTATTTGTTGAAAGCTGCATATTCTTCTCCATTAATCAAAAGATATTTGAGCCGAAAAGAAAAACCTTATCGAGCTAACACCCTCATGGCAATATAAATAAATAACACAGGTGTAGCTAATTGCAATAAAAATGAGAAAAAAAATATTGAAAACCTCGAGTTCATGATTTATTTCAGAAACACCATATGGTCAGATGCCTGTATTAACTGTAGATGATAAAACAATGATTAACCAGACGGGTGCCATTGTCCGGTACCTCGCTCGTGAATTTGGTAAGTTTTATATTAAGTCTGAAAGCACTATTCGGAAATCGCTAATCGATAAAATGGTTCACTGTGGTTTATCGGTGGGTTTTTTTTTCTGCGTTATAATCTTATATTGCACAAACGAGTACATATATATATATATATATATATATATATAATGATGAAAAATACAATTTATTAGTGCTTGCTATATATTTTATTTTGTTCGCTCTTTGGATAGTGTTACTGGGGTTAGGACAACTTTCAATAAACACATTTCACATCCGGTTCATCTAAAAAGTTGTTTACTAAAATTTACAGAACAATGCATCAACAGTTTATCTGTGTGTACCGTAAGCCGTGTTCTAAAGTGCAAATAAAATTTAGAATGGAAACGGGAAATGTGTCAAAGAGACAACAACTCGACCAAAGAGTAGAAAACAGCTCAAGGCCACCAATGGGTTTTCGACGCAGCGAGAAAATCACACACCCAGAGGCGGGCTTTAGCTGTCCCCTAAACAAAACTGTATACTGGTTCAGAAAAAAATGGACGTCACAGTAAACTCCAAAACATATACATAACACAATTAGTCAAATTAGAATAAGTTTTTTTTTTATCTCAATAGTTAAATCCTATTTATACCGACTGTGGATTGTTAAACTAGAATAAGTATAAAAATGAAGAGATGTGGTACGATTTCAAATGATTTAACTATACCCATGAAGACTACATCACAAGTATATGAACAATTGCAGGTCATCGCACGGCCTCCAACAAACCGTAAAGTAAGCAGTGAAAAAAAACCAGGGAAGACCAATAATATTAATATTTTCGAATACATCTCTCCAGCGAGATAAACTATCTTCAAAAAGACTTGGGCCCTCGGCCCTTAGTCGTTCATCTACAATATCACTAGCCTGAGTTTTGAGTCCGACTTCAATTTTAAAATTGAGAATGGAAATGTGAAATATGTCAAAGAGACAACACGACTAAAGAGCAGATAACAGCCGATGCCCTCCAATGGGTCTTCAATGGAGCGAGAAAATTCCGCACCCGGAGGTGGGCCTCAGCTGGCCCCTAAATAAAAATTTGTACTAGTTCAGTGAAAATGGACGTCATACGAAACTCCAAAACATATAAATGAACTAAAATTTAAAAAAAAACATACAAGACTAACAAAGGCCAGAGGCTCCTGACTTTGGACAGGCGCAAAAAATGCGGCGGGGTTAAACATGTTTTGTGAGATCTCAACCCTCCCCTATACCTCTAGCCAATGTAGAATAAAGAAACACACAGCAATGCGCACAGTAAAACTCAGTCTAAAAGAAGTCCGAGTCCGATGTCAGAATAAGTAACAAAAGAAACTAAGGAAAATGACAATGCTACATATCTAAACAAAGGACTACTAGCAGTTACTGGCATGCCAGCTCCAGACCTCAATTAAACATGTTTAATTGACTAAGATTGTCATTTTTACTGCCGAAGGTCGGTGGTTCTCTTCATGCACTTCGGCTTCCTCAATATAGCCAACAGTACCAAAAGCAGCGGTAAACATCAACTATCAATCAACCAATCAATCAACCGAGGAAGCTGAATTGTAGTGATTTTATCAAACACAATTATAGATTGAAAACCAATATTGTCTACGAGCTTTTAGTTAAAAAAAAATTAAGAATAGAGAAACATGACCGCAATGGCGAAAACTTAAAGAATGTAGAAATGAAGATCCCCACCAGACCCTCACAATTCTATATTATCATTTTAACATTTTAACAGGGTTGTATGGTTCAAATAATATGGAAAATACAAAGTGTGACATCATCATTGAAACTGTAGTCGACGTGTTTACTGCTATAATTAAAGTACATTACGAAAAGGATGAAGCTAAAAAGGTTGGTATTTATTTAATATGTAGATAATATCTATTGCAAAATTACAAACAATAACAAATAAAATACGTATATGCAAGAACACAACAAATGAACAATTAACACATGTAAGATTAAAATTTGGGGCCTCGGTAGCCGAGTGGTGTAAATAGTTCATCTACTGTATCACTGAGGTTGAATGTGAGTTCGAACCCCGCACGTGGCAGGTGCGTTCGACTCGAATCTTAATGATAGAGTCGAGAAAATCAACATTAAAACAATGTCGGTGACGACACTGATCAAAAATTATTTCTAAATAACAATTGTACATTTTAAAGAAATTATTTTTTAAACTGTGTTATTAGAAATATAAATGCAAATGCAATATGTTCAGTATTTATCGAGATAATTGCATTAGAAGCTTGTGAAACTGAAATCTAAAAAAATGCCAATCTTTGCTGCATATTGATAAAAAAAAATTGGAAAAAAATCATGTACATATAAAATCTAAAGATCTTTCGGGTCACCAATTTTTTGGAGTGTTCCACAAAGTCCTTAGCATGTTACAATTTTCCAAAATATACTTACTTTTCACATTCTAAGTTTTCGAGTACACCAATCTGCTCGTCACATGTAAATTCAATATAGAAAATTGTCTTTTCGTGAATATAACAATATAAAAGTCTGTCTTTGCAGGTTAAAAAATTATAGATAAATATTCTTATAAAGTAGGCTTCTTTATACTATTTTTATACAATTTTATGAAAAGGTCGCCTCGATTTTTGTACATGTATTTGCGGTCTTCTCGGTCTTTTCACATTCAATGTTTACATCGGGATATGGTCCAACTGAAGACCAATTTACCTACGAAAATCTCAATAATATATAGAACATCAAAACTGAAAAAAAAGAGTTCGTTCAAATAATACAGCCTTCAACAATTAGAAATACCCATACCTTATATAGACTTTCTTGCACTTTTATATATGATTAATTTATTTATCAGTAGTTTTTAATTTTGAAATGTAACTTAGCTTCAATAATTTTTGTTCTATTTTAGGAGGAACTTGGTAAGAAGTTAAGTACAGAAGTTTTACCCCAATTTTTCACCTATTTGTGCAAGTTACTGAAAGAAAATGGTGGAAAATGTCTAGTAGGATCTAAGGTAACAAACATACTATGTATTTAAAAGGCAAAACAATCTTGCAATTGTTAATAGTTTGAAAAATTATACACATCGAGGCCAGTATAATTTTTTAAAATTAAATAGAGAAGAAAAGATATTTATGACGTTTAAATGTTAAGATATTCAATTTGTAAAACCAATATGCGGGGCCTCGTTTGCCAAGTGGTCTTAGAAGTCGAACTATTGTATCACTAGCCTGTCAACACTGAGGTTGTGAGTTCGAATCCGCCACATGGCAGGTGCATTTCGACTCCAATCTTCATTGAATAGGTTGGTCAGTTTTCATACCGAAGGTCTGAGTGATTCTCTCCGCGCACCCGTCACTAGATAGCACAAAAGTGCTGAAAGTGGCGTTAAACAACAATCTTACAATCAATCGAGCCAATGTTAACTCAAATCAATAGACTGCTGGTAATGCAATTCGTTTTCTGATTAGGTTAAGTGCAGTTTGGGCCGAGCTAAATTTTATAACAGGTTTTAATAGTTGTAAGAATAGTATTTGCATGAGTAAGTTTTTTTACCACGTGCTTAATTTGAATCAAAATGGCGTCTTCCTTGAAAGCTTTGTCCTTTAGAATACTTTGACAGTTGAAATCCGTTCACATATTTATCCGTAGATCTTTCATGGTAAACGTTGCACGTAGTTTTGACCATGTAAGCCAAGCAGGTGTCTTGCATCTTCGCCAGCCAAGGGTTACGATCCACTTCCCTCCTCTCCACCCTTGGCGGATTGAGATAAAATTTCGGAGACACAAGGTAATGATTTTCATTGGTTGCAGTCGAAATTCGCTGCATCCAATCAAAAAGTGCCTATGACATGATCACGTGTAAATGTAGAAAGTGTATGTAAACAATTGGCACGTGCTTATTGTGTAACAAGTCTTTACATCCCTAAACATTCGACTATATTTAGTGACAATTTGAATGTTTTTAATCAATTAATAGAAGTTCCTGTGTATGTTTCTTGCACAAATGCATGAATGTCAACGTATATATTCGTTTCCTGCTTTACCAAGTGTGTAGAATCTAGACGCTACCGTGTTTTTACCTCCAAATTGAAGAGTTCAAGTGCTACCATTGGTCAAGAATAATGTATTCGGAATGGGCGTAACTTTAATCTACCGATAGATGACACAACATTGTTATCACAAATGTTGGCTTAATCTGCCAAGGGTGGAGAGGAGGGAAGTGGATCGTAACCCTTGGCTAGCGAAGATGGGTGTCTTGAAGCCCTTGGTAAAGTAACATCATTCTTTTGGAAAAGTGAACGCCTTTGGTAAACTAGCATCATTCTTTCGGAAAAGTTTAAGCCTTTGGTATAGTAACACCATTCATTTGGAAAAGTTCAAGCCTTTGTTATAGTAACATCATGGGAATTGTTTTCGGAAAGGTTAAAGCCTGTAGTATAGTAACATCATGTTTTCGGAAAAGTTGAAGCCTTTGGTATAGTATCATCATGGGAATTCTTTTTGAAAAAGTTAAATCTTTTGGTATACTAACATCATGTTTTCGAAAAATTTGAAGCCTCTGGTATAGTAGCACTATTCTTTCGGAAAAATTAAAGCCTTTGGGATAGTAACACCATTCTTTCGGAAAAGTTAAAGCCTTTGTTAGAACAACACCATTCTTTCGGAAAAGTAAAAGCCTTTGGGATAGTAACACCATTCTTTCTGAAAAGATAAAGCCTTTGGTATAGTAAAACCATTCTTTCTGAAAAGTAAAAACCTATTGTATAGTAGCACCATTCTTTCGTAGAATTAAGTGTCTTTGGTAAAGTAACACCATCTTTTCGGAAAAGATGAAGCCACCATTTTTTTGGATAATTTGAAGCCTTTGGTAAAGTAACATTATGTTTTAGGGGAAGCCTTTGGTATAGCAACACCATTCTTTCGGAAAAAAATGAAGCCTTTTGTATAGTTACACCATTCTTTCGGAACACTTTTTAAATATCGTTAACTAAAAGGGAAAAAGTAAGCACAAGATATAATTCTCTTTTTTATCATTTGTAGTTGACAGTTGCGGATATGGCTGCTTTTGACATGCTTGATAAACTAAAAAGCAATCCACAGATGGGTGAAGGGGTGTACAAAGATTTTGCTGAAGTCAAAACGTTTTACGAAAGTGTGAAAACAAATGCTAATGTACAGAAATATTTAGAGAAGCGACCAGCAGCGGACATGTAAATCTAGGAACATACTCATACTTATTTTATTTATGTGTTTAAACATTTACATGGTCAAGAATTAGCAGACATAGATATGTGAACAAATCTTGCATACTATTCACATTGTTTACAATAGTACATGGTTTTTTTGTACTTATTTATTTTATAGTTATTATATCTGTTTACTGAATCTGTTTTACAAATTGCAATTTACTGAATTAAAATATGATGAAGCTGTATTGTAATTGTAATATTATTATTAATAGCAGTGAAAAAACCTCATCAAAGATTCCAGGCTTATAATTTTGTACACCAGACGCGCGTTTCGTCTACAGAAGACTCATATGTGATGCTCTTATAAAAAAAGTTAAAAGACCAAATAAATTGAGCAAGTGTTTACATACAATAAAATTGAGAATGGAAATGGGGAATGTGTCAAAGAGACAACAACCAGACCAAAGAGCAGAAAACATATACACACAAACAAGATATTCTATTTTAACGTGTTTTATCAATGCGCTAATATAAAGTACTGGATTGGCTTCACAGAGGAGAGAATGATGGGCGAAAAGTGCAGAATAAAGGGAAAAAAATATATAGAATAGGCAAAAAATAGGCAAAAAATAAAAGAATGTAGAAAAATTATACCCCACGCAACGAGTTGCGGAGGGTATACTGTTTTTGACCCGTCCGTCCGTCCGTCCGTCCGTCCGTCCGTCCGTCCGTCCGTCCGTCCGTTCGTCCGTCCGTCAGTCCGTCAGTCCTGTTTCTTGTCATCGCAACTCCTCTCAAACCTAACAACAGAATTTCACGAAACCTTTTTAGATAATAAGGACATACTATGTAGTTGTGCATATCGACAGGAAATTACGATTCAATTTTTTTTCTAGGAGTTACGCCTCTTTGAACTTATTTACTTTAATGTACTACTGCAACAGTTTTTCATCTCAACTCCTCTGAAACCACACAACAAAATTTCATAAAACTTTGTAGATAATAAGGACATACTACGTAGATGTGCATATCGAAAGGAAATTACGATTCAATTTTTTTTAGGAGTTACGCCCCTTTGAACTTATTTGCCCAATATACTACTGCAACCTTTTGTCATCGCAACTACTCTCAAACCACACAACAGAATTTCATGAAACCTTTTCAGATAATAAGGACATACTACGTAGATGTGCATATCGAAAGGAAATTACGATTCAATTTTTTTTAGGAGTTACGCCCCTTTGAACTTATTTGCCCAATATACTACTGCAACCTTTTGTCATCGCAACTCCTCTCAAACCACACAACAGAATTTCATGAAACTTTGTAGATAATAAGGACATACTATGTAGATGTGCATATCGACAGGAAATTATGATTCAATTTTTTTTCTTATACAATTTTTTTTTCTTAGTTATTTTATTTCTCCCGTGACAATGTGGGGACGTGAGGTATGTGAGCGCGCTCACTAAGGTTCTTTAATTGGTTGCCGAAAAGGAATAGATAATTAGAGTCAAAATAAATAAAGAAGAGAGAAAAATAGTCCTAACAAGTTAAAAAATTAAAAACATTGAGGACCCCCATCCAGACCCTCTAATTTGTGTTTAATAGAAGAGGATCTGGATGGGGCCGTTTATAGCAGAATAGAGAATAATGGTCTAAAAAATTAAAACATCGAAAATAACAGGATGCTTAAATATAAAGAACAGAGAGTTATAGGGAAAGAATAAAGAAAAGAGAAAAGTGGCTTAAGATTAAAAGATTACACTTACGAAGACCCATGATACATGAGGGTCAGGTTGGGAGGTTCTTCATTTCTGTTTTCTTTAAATTTTTATGCCATTTTTCTCTATTCTTTATAATTTTTGCCAATTATTCTCTTTCTTTATATTTTAACACCCTATAATTTTTTATTCTTTATTTTTTGGGCCTATTTTTCTCAATTCTTTATATTTTTATCCTTTGTTCTGCACTTTTTGCCCATTATTCTCCGGCTATTCTGTAAACCCCATCCATACCCTCATAAAACTTCGTTGATCGCTTCACATTACATATTACACATTACAACAGTATACAAGAACACAACAAATGAACAATTAACACATGTAAGATTAAAATTTGGGGCATCGGTAGCCGAGTGGTGTAAGTAGTTCATCTACTGTATCACTGAGGTTGAATGTGAGTTCGAACCCCGCACGTGGCAGCTAGGTGCGTTCGACTCGAATCTTATTGATAGAGTCGAGAAAATCAATATTAAAACAATGTCGGTGACGACACTGATCAAAAGTTATTTCTAAATAACAATTGTACATTGACGGACGCCATCACGAGTTGGTTGACCGTTATGGAATAACCGTTTCACAGATGATATCGGATATGTTCCTTAATATGTCGTAACTACAATACCCTTCCCTTTTCACGAATGTGACTTACCGAATTAGACTATTTACCGGATTTGTAATAACATAAGCAACACGACGGGTGCCACATGTGGAGCAGGATCTGCTTACCCTTCCGGAGCACCTGAGATCACCCCCAGTTTATGGTGGGGTTCGTGTTGCTTAGGCTTTAGTTTTCTATGTTGTGTCATCTGTACTATTATTTGTCTGTTTGTCTTTTTATTTTTGGCCATGGCGTTGTCAGTTTGTTTTCGATCTATGAGTTTGACTGTCCCTCTGGTATCTTTCGTCCCTCTTTTAAAGAAATTATTTGTTAAACTGTGTTATTAGAAATATACATGCAAATACACGATTTTTTATGTCTTTCGGGTCATCAATTTTTGGAGTGTTCCACAAAGTCCTTAGCATGTTACAATTTCCCAAAATATACTTATTTTTCACGTTCTAAGTTTTCGAGTACAACGATCTGCTCGTCACATGAAAATTCAATATAGGAAATTGTCTTTTCTTGCAAATAAAAATATAAAAGTCTGTCTGTGCAGGTTAAAAAATTATAGATAACTATTCTTATAAAGTAGGCTTCTTATTACTATTTTTCATACAATTTTAGGAAAAGGTCGCCTCAATTTTTGTACATGCATTTGCGGTTTTCTCGGTCTTTTCACATTCAATGTTTACATCGGTCCAATTGAAGACCAATTTACCTACGAAAATCTCAATAATATAGAACATCAAAACTAATTTACATTCGAGATTCTTAATAACATTGAGCAGTAAGACCAGTTTACCTACGAGAATCTTAATGAAATTAGAGAGCATTAAAACCGATTTACCTACGAGAATCTCAATAATATAGAGCATCAAAATTGATTTACATTCGAGATTCTCAATAATATAGAGCACCAAGACCGATTTACCTACGATAATCTCAATGAAATAGCTAGACAGGCATCAAGACCGATTCACCTACGAAAATCACAATAATATTGAGTATTAAGACCGATTTATCTACGAGAATCTAAATAATATTAAGCATGAAGACCGATTTACCTACGAGAATCTCAATAATATAAAGCACCAAGACCGATTTACCTACGATAATCTCAATGAAATAGCTAGACAGGCATCAAGACCGATTCACCTACGAAAATCTTGATAGCATAAAGCATCAGGACAGATGTATCTACAAGAATCTCAATTACGTTCGAAAATCCCCAAATATCACTGAGAATAACAATCGTGAGACTACTGGTATATTTTTTCTAGTTTGTATGAAAATAAGGAGATACGGTATGATTGCCAATGTGACAACTATTAAAAAGAGTTCGTTCAAATAATACGGCCTTCAACAATTAGAAACACCCATACCGTAAACAGATTTTCTTGCACTATTATATATAATTAATTTATTGATCAGTAATTTTAAAAATTTCGGAAAAGATGAAGCCACCATTTTTTCGGAAAAATTGAAGCCTTTGGTATAGTAACATTATGTTTTTTTGGGAAGCCTTTTGAATAGCAACACCATTCTTTCGGAAAAAATGAAGCATTTGTATAGTTACACCATTCTTTCGGAACACTTTTTTAAATATCGTTAACAAAAAGGGAAAAAGTAAGCGCAAGATATAGTTCTTATTTTTATTATTTGTAGTTGACAGTTGCGGATATGGCTGCTTTTGACATGCTTGATAAACTAAAATGCAATCCACAGATGGGTGAAGGGGTGTACAAAGACTTTGCTGAAGTCAAAACGTTTTACGAAAGTGTAAAAACTAATGCTAATGTACAGAAATATTTAGAGAAGCGACCAGCAGCGGACATGTAAATCTAAGAACATACTCATACTTATTTTATTTATTTGTTTAAACAGTTACATGGTCAAGCATTAACAGACATAGCTATGTGAACAAATCTTGGATACTATTTACATTGTTTACAATAGTACATGGTTTTTTGTACTTATTTATTTTATAGTTATTATATCTGTTTACTGAATCTGTTTTACAAATTGCAATTTACTGAATTAAAATATGATGAAGCTGTATTATTGTAACATTATTATTAATAACAGTGAAAAAAACCTCATCAAAGATTCCAGGCTTATAATTTTGTACACCAGACGCGCGTTTCGTCTACAGAAGACTCATATGTGACGCTCTTATAAAAAAAGTTAAAAGACCAAATAAATTGAGCAAGTGTTTACATACAATAAAATTGAGAATGGAAATGGGGAATGTGTCAAAGAGACAACAACCAGACCAAAGAGCAGAAAACATATACACACAAACAAGACATTCTATTTTAACGTGTTTTATCAATGCGCTAATATGAAGTACTGGATTGGCTTCACAGAGGAGAGAATGATGGGCGAAAAGTGCAGAATAAAGGGACAAAATATATAGAATAGGCAAAAAATAGGCAAAAAAAAAAAGAAAGGAGAATAATTGGGTGCTGAAAAGGAATAGATAATTATAGTCAAAATAAATAAAGAAGAGAGAAAAATAGTCTTAACAAGTTAAAAAATTAAAAACATTGAGGACCCCAATCCAGACCCTCTTATTTGTGTTTTAATAGAAGAGGATCTAGATGGGGCCGTTTATGGCAGAATAGAGAATAATGAACTAAAAAATTAAAACATCGAAAATAACAGGATGCTTAAATATAAAGAATAGAGAGTTATAGGGAAAGAATAAAGAAAAGAGAAAAGTTGCTTTAGATTAAAAGATTACACTTATGAAGACCCATACACGAGGGTCGGGGTTGGGGGAGGGATATTCCTTCATTTCTGTATTCTTTAATTTTTTTAAGCCATTTTTCTCTATTCTTTATAATTTTTGCCAATTACTCTCTTTCTTTATATTTTAACACCCTATAATTTTCTATTCTTTTTTTTTTTTTACCTATTTTTCTCAATTCTTTATATTTCTTATCTTTATTCTGCACTTTTTGCCCGTTATTCTCTATTCTGTAAACCCCATTCATCCTCTCATACATCCATCCTCTCATAAAACTTCGTTGATCACTTCACACCTCACTCCTCTTTCTAATCACTGATTAATCTTGAATAAATCCAGCGTACAATTAAAATATGTACATGAAACAGGTCTTTAAAGAAAAAAAACTCCCTCTTTATTTCGCTTGTGATAATAATTTAAATTTGAATTCTTTATTTCCTAATAACAGTGCTCTTTCGATCATTACAAATAACACGTTCATCCGTACTTTCATACACTTCTTGCTGATGCCGCTCACCCGGATTATGTGAACTAGGTTCAGTGTACAGCACAATAAACATGCACAATAGAAAAGACATTGATCGATACAAGAGATATTCTGAATTTTTTCTAGTAAGTTTAGAATTTTACCATACGGTAAACTTTCCTGCTCAGGGGAGGGGCGTAGAGGTCATTTGCCCCCTTGATTAGAAAATATCTATTATATCTCAATTGCTATTATATCTCAATCTTAAGTTCATTAAGAGAGTTCCACTAAAGTCAAACCTGATTTTTTTTTGTCTACAACATGTTGTTGCTTTAAATCATGCACAGGAGAAGGCTGCTTCATAAAGTTGGTTAAATTTGTGTCGAATCCTTGTTGTCTCTTCGAGCGAATGAAATTGCTATGATTATAAACAAAGTTGTTTGTAAGTATTATGGGCAAGGAATTGCATATTTAAATATACAATTCCTTGTTATGGACTAACTATGGAGTACACTTGAAATTAACAAAACATTTGCTATGAACATTTTTAAACACTATTATGAACAAAAGAGCTATTTAATAATTAAAGCCTGATGAATTATTTCATCAATTTATAAATTAATTTAAAATTAGTCTAGTACAGGTATTTAGTTCACGAGAGATTTATAGTATTTATTTTAATAACTACTTTGAATGGTATTTATCATAAGTCAGATTTGTCACGAATTCAATTCAATTTTATTGAAACATCAGTGCATTTTAATATTATTATACCCGCAGCTCAAATTACCACACCAATTACTGATTTTTATTATATTATTTCACACTCATAACGCAAGTTGTTTTCCTTTTCCAAATGGACACTTATTCTAAATCGGATAAATCGGGCTGCTGTCCTCGAAAAACATGCTAAGTTGAAAATGATAACTATGCATATAGCGTTTAAGGGGTTACCCAACACTTTGACTAAAATAGATTTGGCTGGCTCGATTATTTTTCATAAAATTTTGACAAAATATTTACGTTGACCTGTTTACAAAAATATAAAAAATTTAAGAAGTTTAAACAACAATTTACAGGAAAAATTTCATTTCATATATAGCAATTTGACAAACACTAATTTTGATCACTGCGAAGCTTGATTTCTCTTTACTCATATTTTGTGATTAAACCGTTCAGCAGATTGTAAAATAGTTAACTCTCACTTAGGTATTTCGTAACCTCTTAAGTCATTTTTTATTAAAAAAAATAGCTATTCATATAAAAAGTTTCTACTTTTACAATAAATCAGACTTGATTAAAATATTTTAAAAAAACTTACAGGTTACTTACATAACGCTCTTTCTGCTAGCTTTTCATGGCAATGACAATTATATGCCTCCAAAGAGAAACAACTCTTATAAATAGATATAAGAAGATGTGGTATGAGTGCCAATGAGACAACTCTCCATCAAAGTCAAAATTTATTAAAGTAAACCATTATAGGTCAAGTACGGTCTTCAACACGGAGCCTTGGCTCACACCGAACAGCAAGCTATGAAGGGCTCCAAAAATTACTAGTGTAAAACCATTCAAACGGGAAAACCAACGGTCTAATCTATATAAAAAACGAGAAACGAGAAACACTTATGAACAACATCAACAAACGACAACTACTGCTCATCAGTTTCCTTACAGGAAAAATTTCATTTAATATATAGCAGTTTGACAAACACTAATTTTGATCACTGCGAAGCAGATTTTAAAATAGTTAACTCTTCCTTAGGTGTTCCGTAACCCCTTAAGTCGTTTTTTATTAAAAAAAATAGCTATTCATATAAAAAGTTTCTACATTTACAATAGATTAAACTTGATAAGAATAGTTGAAAAAAAACTTACAGGTTACTTACATTACGCATATATAAACTAAATTTGCTCTTTCTGCTAGCTTTTCATTGACAATGACAATCATATGCCTCCTAAGAGAAACAACTCTTATCAATGAATTTCTAATAAAATTGTCAATTACAATTTCTTGATATAGAGTCTCACTAGAGACACGTTTATTCTGTCAGAGACACTATAGCTCAACGTTCGTTTCTATTGATCTGTCATCGCTTTCAACATGTTCCTTGTTTAACATGTAAGTTAACAATTGCAGGAGTGATGTATAACCAAAGTGTGTCCTTTCTATTTCTTCTCATCTTGTGAGGGTGAATGCAATCCCAGCTGTTTTCAAACAGCCCTTTGTCTGTCTATGATGGATGTCCGATACAAAGGAAGGGTATGCTTTCAACCCTTCCGGTTATCACTGATATCACTCCCGATTTTTGTGACATGTTGTGTTTTGCATATTACGTCATTTTATTGCTGTCGCTGCATTATCATATACGTCTATTTTGCCTGTCCCGTGCCCGTTCCTATACGTCTTTTTTTACCTGTCCTGTGCTCGTTTCTATACGTCTATTTTGACTGTCCCGTTCCCGTTCTTAAACGTCTATTTTACCTATTCCGTAACCGTTTCTATACGTCTATTTTACCTGTCCCATAAATTTGCTCTTTTTGCTAGCTTTTCATCGGCAATGAAAATTATATGCCTCCTAAGAGAAACAACTCTTATAAATGAATTTCTAATAAAATTGTCAATTACGATTTCTTGATATAGACTCTCACTAGAGACACGTTTATTCTGTCAGAGACACTATTAGCTCAACGTTCGTGTCTATTGATCTGTCATCGCTTTCGACATGTTCCTTGTTTAACATGTAAGTTAACAATTGCACGAGTGATGCATAACCAAAGTGTGGTCTTTCTTTTTCTTCTTATCTAGTGAGGGTGAATGCAATCCCCACTGTTTTCGAACAGCCCTTTGTCTATCTATGGTGGGTTCCGGTTATCACTGATATCACTCCCGATTTTTGTGACATGTTGTGTTTTGCAAATTACGTCATTTTATTGCTGTCGCTGCATGATCATATACGTTTATTTTGCCTGTCCCGTGCCCGTTCCTATACGTCCATTTTGCTTGACCCTTGTACGTTCCTATACGTCTATTTTGATATATAGTCCCGTGCCCATTCCTATACGTCTATTTGCCTGTCCCAAGCCCGTTTCTATACGTCTATTTCACCTGTAGCTTGGCCGTTCCTATACGTCTATTTTACCTGTCCCGTGTCCGTTCCTATACGTCTATTTTGCCTGTCCCGTGTCCGTTCCTATACGTCTATTTTGCCTGTCCCGTGCCCATTCCTATACGTCTATTTTATCTGTCCCGTGCCCGTTCATACACGTCTATTTTACCTGTCCCGTGCCCGTTCCTATACGTCTATTTTGACTGTCCCGTGTCCGTTCCTATACGTCTGTTTTACCTTTACCGTAACCGTTTCTATACGTCTATTTTACCTGTCCCATGCCCGTTCCTATACGTACTTTCTACCTGTCCCGTGCCCGCTTCTATACGTCCATTATGCCTTTCCTGTGCTCGTTCCTATACCTTTGTTTTGCCTGTCCCTTGCCCGTTCCTTTACGTCTATTTTACCTGCCCCGTTTACGTTTTATACGTCTATTTTGCCTATCCCGTGCCTCTGTTTCACATCCTTTTGGTTGGTCTGATTTGCGTATTATCCTCAGAATTTCGTTTTTTGACAAGGAATCGAGCTATAAATGATGGTTTGGAGTGGTAGAGGGGAGGGGTCTTCATGTCTGTAGTCTTTATTAATTTTTTTTCGCCCATTTATTCTTTGTTTTTCCCCTTTTATTCTCTATTATGTAAACCCCATGTTCACTCATACGTAACGGAGATACATTTCTTATTCTAAAATGAAGATTTACAATAGAATATTGCAGTGACTGCATACCCGGGTTTCAAGTCCGTACCAGGAAAAACTGTATGAAAATATATTAATACAAATTACAACAGCCCGAAGGCTGTTGTCTGCTCTTTGGTCGGGTTGTTGTCTCTTTGACATATTCCCCATTTCCATTCTCAATTTTATTACAATCATTTTGTCGGTAGTATTTTCGCGATGTTTTTTCTTTTTAATATTATAGCTAGAAACATGGATTTCAAATTGATTTTGATGTTTGTAAACGGATGAGTACAACGAAGACCATGACACCTGATTTGTTTATATCATAATGACGCCATTGTAGAATTTATGGAATGTCGTTAAACATTCCTGATACGTAAAAGTTTGAATATAATGATATTTAGATAAAATTTAATGTTTCGGTCAAAAATCAGAACGATAAAGAGAATAATTTGTATGAACTTGATTCTCTTGGTTACCTTTGAAAATGAAGATATACGAATGTAATTTTTCAATATTTTCACGTAGATTCTACAAATTAAACAGCGTCAATCAAAAACGAAAATCAAAATTATATAACAAACATTTCACTTATGTAATCAACATGTATTCCACGTGGATTAATCTTTATATTCGATTATATTATATAATAGGAAAACGTCTATCGTTTCCATAAATGAGGGTTTGGATGGAATTTACAGAATAGATAATAATGGACCAATACCACAGAAAGATGGGCCTAATATAAATAAAGAATAGAGAAAAAAAGAATTTTGCATAATGGGGTGTTAAAATATAAAGAAAAAAGAATAATGAATAATGAACAAAATGTATTAACAGAGACATATAATACATGTATTATATGTCTCTGGTATTAAGAATAGAGAAAATGGCTTCAAAGTTAAAGAATTAAGGAACACCCTATCCAGACCCTCATAAATATCAATCTTAAGTATTTAGCTTGTCTTTCCTTTATACTAAACTAGATAGAAGCAGCAATTTTAAAAGCATCAAATTATAATAATTAAAACATTTTTTTCTGTAGTTGTTAAATATGTAGTTGACATGACACAAATTGTCGCTGTGAAAATTTGTAGTTGACAAGGAAATTATATAGTTTGTGATTTCTCAATTTAAGAATTCGTTTAACACTGTGTTAGTGCTCAAAGGCAACACAAAGTGCACACCGTATAATACAGCGATTCTTAAAATTGATCGAATTAAACCTGATAAAAAAGTCAAATATCCGTAAAAGCTATTAGTTTATTAATATTCAATAATTAATTGACCGGAAGTGCAGAAAGAGAAGCGGATGTTGAAATACGTCGATGAAACGACAACCAAGCAATAGAAATAATCCAAAAATCAGATTAAGGAATCACCATTTTCTATTACTGAAGGTAACCAATGAGACAAATATCCACCAAATAAGACCAAAGGACCCAGTGGTTGTAAATAAACTCATCAGAGATACCAGGATTGAAATTTTGTAATTGCACCGGACGCAATGTTTTCAGATGTTTTTTTTTTGGCTAAAGAAAAGCAAAACAAATTTGTATAGTTTGTTCTGATGTTGTGCTGTTACATTAATGTTCAGACTAAGGTTAGAGGGGGATAGAGAGCTCACAAACATGTTCAATCACACTTTATCCTGTATGTGACAGATCTAAATGAGGATTCTGTAATTCTATGGTCGCTGACTATCCTATTTGTTTTTCGTTTATTGTAATGTACATAAATGAGGCCGTTGGAATTTTTTTGTTTGAATTGTTTCACATTATGTCATGTTGGGGCCTTTTATAGATAACTATACGGCATTGGTTTTGCTCACTGTTGGAGTCATTTGATTGCTTACAACTACGTCAATTGTTATCTAATGGGTAGTTGTCGCAGTAGACAATTATACCACATTTCCTTATTTTTAACAAACTTCAATTTTATGCTTGGAATACACAGTAAACAGTTTAGCTGCAATACCATACTCATGTAGAACCTTAACCTTTAATTCTAAATGATAGATTGATTGTTGGTTGCTTAACGTCCAGCGGCAAATTAAATGAAATATGGCCAAGGCGCATAACTCTGAAAATATGCATAAATTACCTTTGTTATAATTTATTGACATAATCGACGACTTTAAAAGTGTGTTGTAAATTTTGATATAGTCATATTTTGGTAAAAAAAAATAAGGTCCGCCTTTATGAACATGTTTTCTTTATTGTTTTGCAGACTGTTCGTTGTCTTTTCGTCATTTTTCATCTTCTGTTACATTTTAAATTTGTCAATCAAACTTCGACTTGTGCCTTTGTAGGAATCTCCCGCCTCTCTTTAATTTTTTTTTTACTCAATGCATGAAGACTTGTCAACAAGACGTGTTTCCATTGAGCTTCATATCTTGACTGACTTTACTTCTAGACTTTAACATTATGCGTCAGTTGAGAACTTAATTTAACGACAAAAGAAATGATTTTAAATTTACAATTGTGAACTTTCCATTTCTTCGTAGTAACATTCGAGCAGCGTCTGAATATACAGTGTACATACAAGATGTTACTTGCCATGAGCAACACGACGGATGCTTTAAGTGGAGCAGAAACTGCTTCTCCTACTGGAGCACCTGAGTTGAACCCCAGTTTTTTTAGTGATGTTCATGTTGTTAAATCTTTAGTTTTTTGTCACGTAGTGGTTTGTAAACTGGAAAATTGTTTGTCTTTTTGTCATTTTATTGTTTTTCTAAAGGTTGTCAGGTTTTTCTTCAACTTATTTTGTTTTATTCTACATATTGCTCATTCCTCTTTTAATTCATTTTACAAAATAAAAAGCGGTTAGTATTTTCCAAATTTTGTTTATTTCTTTTCCGTTATATATATTTTGAGTGTACTATTTCTATTTTCAAACTTTTTATAAAAGCAAAAAAAAAAACAGTTTGGTCAGTAATTTAAATTTGTTGGCTTAGAAATGTTTGATGCACGGATATATTCCTTTGCAGGTATTGCGGTTTGACCAGGGGTTACGTAGACATAAATCATATAATAGCTAACAGTAACGTTTAACCACCGCACGTTATGCTTAGTATATTATTCATAATTTATTGTACAGGTGCGGATCCATGACCATGATTTTGAAAGGGGGCTAGAAAGCCAATATTTGGAGTGATACTTGTAAAAAGTGTATGCATTTATCATATATGTTATGTATGTAGCGCCATAAGGGGTGGATGGGGCTTGGTCCTTATAAATCCGCCTCTGTTGTATTGCTTGTGTATATGATGTACAGCTTAACTTGTTATTCATTCATTTGAGCCATTTGTGAGGGTGTGGATGGGAGTTTACAGAATAGAGAATGATAGGCAAAACAATATAAAGAATAGAAAAATGGACCGAAAAAATAAAGAAAAGAAAATAACGAGGTGCTAAAATATAAAGAATAGAGAATAATGGGCAAAAAGTATAAAGAATAGAGATAAACGGCCTAAAACTAAAGAATACAGAAATGAATAACCCCTCATTCAGACCGTCGATCATTTGTAACATTTTGCAATCTTTATTAAATGTTGCGTCTTCGAGGTTGCATAGCAAAGATAATAGATATTTATGATTAAGACTGTAGTATGACTTGCCTCTTATTTAGCTATGTATTTATTTAAGAAATGTTTTAAATTAGTTTAAGTGGGAATTTAAGGCTAAAAACTGTAACACGTATATACTTTTACTGATCGTAACTGTATTTTTCCATTGGAATGCTAAACTTTGACCTTAAATAATCCATCGGTCACATAATCACAAGCAAGGTAAAATATCAACATCATCAAGTCATAATATAGAACATAAACTGCAATCTTTATTTAGGACCTAGTTTATATATCTAATTTGAATACCTTCGGCAGTCTATTAAAGGTATATTCACAATTTCAATGAAAATATCGATAATAGCTTTCGTAAATAGTACATCTTAGGTGAAAATCTAGTAAAAGTCATTATATAGGTCATATTGGTTCAACGTCAGTATTTAGAACATCGTTTGTATATGTGTATATATAAATAGCTTCGACAGTCTAATAACGTTAATCATTTTTTATATTAGCAACAAGAAGATAGCACCATCAATTCAAAATGCCTGCTAAATACAAACTCTCTTACTTTGAAGGCAGAGGAAGAGGTGAAATTCTTCGTCTTATGTTTGCTGGAGCTGGTCAAGAGTTCGAAGATGACCGACTAAAGGGCGATTCCTGGATAGCATTTAAACCAAGTAAGATTGATTATCTTTCATCGTGTATATGCATGTTTGTAGCCCACAATATATTTCCTTTCCTTATTTTCTTAATCTCTTTAAAAAAATGTACTGATATTTTGGGATTTTGAATTTTGAAACAAAATTTAATATTCATTCTATAAAAAAAAGGTAGGTATATTTTGTTTCGCGGGTTAGCCTCGCAAAATTGTATTTTCATTTTTGTACACAATAATTTCCTGCATTTTGTTTCCATTTTATTCATTTGATTCCTTTCTTCGCGCAAGATTACTTATTTTCAATTCTAACCAGGCCACGATATTCATGCCCCCCCCCCCCCATATTCCACCTCCGAAAATCAAATGGAGAAGAAATGGACAAAAAAAAAGAAAAGAGATTAAGGGAATGATAATTTTATATTCTGGAAGGATGGGGATTTTGGAAATAAATATTTTGGCTTAGTACTAACTTAAAATAAATAAATAAATAAGACAGGATGAAACTGAGTATTCTGCTCAACAAAAGGTAGGTCAATGGAGGAAATTGTTGCGCCCCAACCCAGTCCAGACCCTTTTAGATACGAGTCGAGTTCTGGTATTTCTTTAATGGAATACACAAATATACTGTCTGTAAAATTTTATAATGTTAAACAATTTTTTTTTTGTTCAAATTGTTGTGCAAAAATTCAAGGTTGCAGAACATCAATAAGATTTAAAAGCCTTGATACCTATTAAAATCATACACTCACAGTTTATCTATGGATTTCCATTGGTATCGGTTTAAAAAATACGATTAAGCATCTAAAATAAAGGATTAAAAATCAGATGTCATTAACGTTACTTATTCTGCAGTGTATATTTATATTATTGTATGAAATATACGAAGTCGGACAATTAATTTAAATATTTTTGCTTCAGTAATAAAAAACGTGTTTTGTTGTCCATTTATAGATTAGATCCCATGTTAATAATTCTGTAATAGGCAATTAAAAGGTAATGGAATGAATGCATAAATTGACCTTGACCTCAACTTGTCTGGTGTTCTATTCATAATTCTAAACAACATTATAGGTCATCTTGGTCAAGGTTGTCTTTCACTTTAAAATTGAAAATGGAAATGGGAAATGTGTCAAAAAGACAACAAACCGACCGAAGAGCAGAAAATAGCCCAAGGCCACCAATGGGTCTTCAACACAGCGAGAAAATCCCGCACACGGAGGCCGGCTTCAGTTGGTCCCTAAACAAATATAGGTTGGATTGTGAAGTACATATTTACAAGATAGATTAAATGGGCAATCTGTTTTGTCTATTGATGTATCAGAGTAATTGTTAGGACTATTTTGTACTATTGTAAAACTCATCTATTTAATTACTATATTTATAATAAAAGTTTACATATTTTGAATATTGAATTTGAGTTAGAATTATTACTTGCAAATTGAAATTTGTGTAAAAAAAAATATGGCATATAGATTCATGTACCACGTATGAAATTTTTATTTTTTATTTTTTTATTTTTGCATTTTAGTAAACCTCAAAGTTTAACAGACTTAATATATTTACAAAGATTGAAAATTGGTTTTGACATCTAATGGAAGAATTTGTAGATTAACGCAGGTTTAATGCCGGAAAAAAAGCCGTATAATAAAATGAATTAAAATTGATATATAGCTTCTAGCAGTATAGGTCTGTCTAAAGTACTTTAAGCGAATGCCCTCTCTGTAGTTTGTAATTTTCACTGTTAAAAAGAGAAGGTACACAAAATGTAGATAATTAGAGGCAGTTTGAATACTGTCGATTTTTTTGCACTAAATCGTTCTTTCTCTGTTTCTAAATTTACATATTATTGTACATATAAAAAAGAAGATGTGGTATGATTGCCAATGAGACAACTCTCCATGACATAGAAATTAACAACTATAGGTCACCATACGGCCTTCAACAATGAGCAAAGCCCATACCGCATAGTCAGCTATAAAAGGCCCCAAAATGACAAATGTAAAACAATTCAAACAAGAAAGCTAACGGCCTAATTTATATACAAAATAATGAACGAAAAACAAATATGTAACACAGAAACAAACGACAACCACTGAATTACAGTCTCCTGACTTAGGGACAGGCATATACAGAATGTGGCGGGGTTAAACATGTTAGCGGGCGCTCAACCCTAACAAGGGACAGTGGTGTAACAGTACAACATAAGAACAAACTATAAAAATCAGTTGAAAAAGGCTTAACTCATCAGATGGATACAAATGTAGGTATATGATGTGATAAGGGATATTCTCTTACTAAGTCAGGAATACGACGACATGCGATATTCTTAAGCTTTTACGTATAATTCAATCTTTCATTGTTCAAATTTAACTAAATGTTGTTTACAAATATACCATATCATGCATGTTTTACAGATACTATGATTATTGTACAAATACCTGTGATTAAACATAAAGTATTTAAGTGATTTACCGATGATCCTATTTTCAACTTTAAATTGAAGGACGAACAAATTTAAAAGGTGTCAAATTATAAACAAGATTACAACGAACACCTATAATGTACAAATCTCGTTTTTTTTATAAAGAAATTTGTTTAGGCGTCTGACAATAGCGGACAATAAGAAAAACGTCAATTCCAACTTAAAATGGATCATATATTATGGTCTGGAAGGGGTCCTTCTCTTCTTTATTCTTTTAAATTATTTTTTTTTTGTTTTGTTAGTAAAGTTTTCTAATTTTGTTTTTGTTCTTTATTTTGCACTGTTTGATTATTACTCACTCTTCTGCAAACCCCATCTAGACCCTTATATATAATTTTTAAAAAAACTTTTTTTTAAATTTTTATTTTTTAAGGGTTACACATGCATGAGATATTTGCCACTGGGCGCTAAGCAAACAACAATAATTCATTTGTAAAATAATAGCAAATCTTCATAGAAATAAGAAGATGTGGGAGGAGTGCCAATGAGTCAACTCTCCATCCAAGTCACAATGTGTAAAAAGTAAACAATTATAGGTCAAAGTACGGCCTTCAACACGGAGCCTTGGCTCACACCGAACAGCAAGCTATATAATATGACTTATTTCAGAAACACCATATGGCCAGATGCCTGTGCTAACAGTAGATAATAAAACCATGATTAACCAGACAGGTGCCATTGCTCGGTTCATTGCTCGTGAATTTGGTAAGTTTTATATATATGTACCTTTTCAATACTTGTCGGCAACAGCTAATCAAAAAAAAAAAAATACAGCCTATTACGAAAACCACAAGTCTTGAATATTTCCGTCGCAGTAGGTTCAATTAACTTTTGTATTTTGATCCTGCAAGTCACTTAGTGTAATAATTTTACGGGAAATTGGCCTTAATTTTTTCATCCACAACGTATCAAGACGTTATTAGATTTAGATAAATCATTCGTATATATGATTGGACCATCTACAAATACTTGAATGTGATTGGTCCGTTAATATTTCTCTCCTTCCACTTCGATAGACCATATTTTCAGAACGCTTTCTTATCATTAGACTGACGAGTTTGACAGCAACTTTTGTATGAATTTCGCAAGTAGTTTAATCTGAAATAACTCTTCGAGATTAAAAAAAATGGTGTTCGAAGTGGTCAATTCATTCTAAGTCATTATGATGATGAAAATCACTCAAAAGCTGACAGTCTATCAGGAGTGAGTTCATTTATTTAAAAAAGATTATCCTAGAGGGTTACACATAGAAAGAGGGTAGCCTATTTTTGAACGTGATATAAAAAAAATACTTAGTACCGACGGATGGACCGTCTCAGTGGTCTCGTGGTAGCGTGCCCGCCTCGAATGTTAGCGGTCGTGGGCGAGTCAAAACAAGGACTTGAAAATTGGTATTTGCTGCTTCTCCACGAAACACACGGCATTTAGGAGTAATATCAATGACTGGTCTACTGGTTCGGAGTCAGAAAGCTATGTCCGCGTAAGGTGACATGTCTTTTTTGTGGACTGTTAGCTAATGGACGAGCACGTTAAAAATCCGACTCAACGTGTCGGTCTAGTACAAAGCAGTGTGTATATCAATATCATCTTATTATGTTCTCGTCCTAAATATGCATTTGATTTGCAACTAGAGGTTAAATAGACATTCATGATGGATGGATGGTTGCAACTCCCCGAACCCTTTCCTTTACAGGGGCGGATTCAGGCTGGGCGTGGTGGGCGTGGCCCCCTCCCCCCTAAAATTTGCAAAACATGGGTTGTCCTCAGCTTAATAAAGAATATTTCGATAATTTTACCTATTATTTAGGCGATAATTTAAGTTATCTAACCTGGTTATAAAATCCTGGATCCGCCCCTGCATTAGATCTACCAATGGCTTAAAATGTGCCGTTGAACAGGTCTAAAAAAAATAGGATTAGAATGGATATCAAGAATTACTGCAAAGTGTATATTATCTACTAGCTTTGAATTTAAACGTCATTTCTCAGAAAGGGTGTACATTTATCTTTAGCACATATGCAACCATCATACATGCTATAAATATCAATGATTTAAAACAGGATTATACGGTACCAATAACATGGAAAGTTCCAAGTGTGACGTCATCTTTGAGACCGTCAATGACGTGTTCACAGAAATGGTAAAAGTATTTTTCGAAAAAGATGAAGCAAAGAAGGTCAGTATCAATTTGATTAATAATAATAATAATAATAATAATAATAATGATAATTATGAAGAAAATAGAATTAAAATTAAAAAAAATAAAAATAAAAATAAAAAATAAAAATAAAAATAAAAATAATATATAATAGATAATCTAGGACTTAAAAATTGCTCTGAACTTCACATGACTAAAGAATAGAACAGGGAACATATCAATTGATTTGACTGTGTTTGTTTATCTTCCAGTGCCAAATATTTCATGCATATCATGATGAGGAAAGAAAAAAAAGAAATACATTATGACATCGTGCAAATTCCCGTTTCTTTTCTTTTTCTTCTTGTTTTCTGTGTATTGTTTCTCATCTTTGTTTTTCGGTTTATTTTTTAAAGGAAACTTTATTGAATATTTCAACGTATGAAAGTTAGCAACTGCAAAAGCAGATGATATATTTAGTATACAAACAGGGGGCAGTTTCTAGAGAAAATACTAGAAAAATGGAGAAGGATAAAAAGTCGTTTAATAAAACAATTGTTGACTTTTGATTTCAGTTGATACAATGATTTATCAACCCCAGAGATATGACATTCACCCTCGGCCGTTGGCCTCGGTGAATATCATAACTCTGGGTTTGATAAATCATTGTATCAATCTCATCAAAAGTCATATATTATATAATATTATAAAATAAATAGCATGCACATTAGAAACTGGAACAAAAGCTAGATTAGACCTGCTTTTTACTTATTTCGTAGCAAGTACACATAAGAACATTTTCCTAGAGTACCTATGACATTTTATGTTATCCTTCAAGAATGACTAGTAAATTATTAGGTTTTTTTTCAAATCACAATCGTTGTTTTTCTTTGTTGGAAAAAACCTTCTGTATAGAATACATCAAGACAATATTTTCATACGAGACTTGGAATAACGACCACGTGTCTTCTTATGGCAACGCCCCTACCATTTATGAAACTCCTAGGAACATTTAGTGATTAGAAACTTTCTTTGACTGGTTACTAACTGATTAATGTATTTTTTTGTTGTTTAAATAATGAATGAAGTTCAATCGGTTTTAATGATTTTCTCTTTTTTTTCAGGCAGAAAATGGTAAAAAATTAAATACAGAAGTTTTACCAAAATTTTTCGCTTTTATGGCCAAGTTACTGAAAGAAAATGGTGGAAAATGTCTCGTAGGATCTAAGGTAACATTCATCACTTTTTATAAGAAATATTACATAAATATTGATAATTACAAGATTATAGAGTAGATAATTGAAACGGGGAATGTGTCAAAGAGACAACAACCCGACCAAAGAGCAGAAAACAGCACACGGCCGCCAATGCGTCTTCAACGCAGCGAGGAAAATAACGAGCCTGGCGGCGGACTAGCTGGCCCCTAAACAATAATGTATACCAGTTCAGCGAAATGAACGCTACATTAATTCTAAAACATACAAATGAACCAAAATAAAAATAAACTCGCATGACTAACAAAGGCTAGAGGTTCCTGGCGTTGGACAGGGGCAAAAACGCGACGGGATTAAACCATCACCTATTTGTATAGCCAATGTGGAATAAATAAACACACAGCAATACTAGTAAGCAGATGCATTATATACATCAAGGCAAAACGTTGTCTTGTTTTTAAAAAAAAAGGTAATTTCGTATTTTATTTTCCCTCTTTTTTTATACGATCGAGCGTCACTGGTGAGTCTTTTGTAGTCAAAACGTGCGTTTGGATCACAATTTTAATTCTGGTATCTATGATTGTTTAATTTCGACCGTGTACAGAGATATAGTGTGATGATATTTAACTTAACAGATATCAATAACATTGCACATGTTTCGTTTTTTTTAATTGAGCAAAGCCGGTTCCGTGGAAACTTTTGACTAGTGATTATTTAAGGAATGTCTTACAAAATCGATCACGGAAAATGGTCATGGAAAAATATGTAATTCTCTTTAATTTTATATTTGTAGCTTTCAATGGCAGACGTTGCTTTCTTTGACATGCTTGATAAAATAACCGAAGGTAAAGGTATGGGTGCAGATTTATACAAAGACTTTGCTGACATCAAAACATTTTACGCAAACGTCCAGAAATTACCTAATATGAAAAGTTATTTAGAGAAGCGACAGCCATCTGATATTTAAATTTAGCAACACTCATCATCTTCATTTTATTTGTGTTTTAAAACATTAACATGGTCCAGGAATAACAGACTGATTTATGCGAACAAATTGGAGGGGCAACCTTTACATTGTACTCAATAAACTAAGTACGATCTTTTTGTACTTTTTTTATTTAAAAATTGGGATAATCTTTACATTGTTTACATTTATAGAACGTTCATTTTTTTCTTTTTTATTTCATAGTTATTGAAATGTTTTCTCTCTCTCTTTACAAATTGCAATTTTTTTAATTAAAATATACAATGGCGTAGCTGCTTTATTGAATCGTTATTATTGATTGAAGTACCTTGTAGTGAGATTTTTCGCTCACACAAATACACACACGCACACTCACACATATACGATAATCAGTGTTGGCTTACATATTTGTCCTCCGAGGGCTAATATGAGCTCGACGTCAATGTCCACGAAATGTAAGAGCGGCGTCTTCATTTATCAAATAACAAGAGATCTTTAAACAAATTCAGCGTAAACTGTACGATGCCCTTTTTGAAAAAAAAAATATCCTTCATTGTATTACGTTCGGGATGTAGAAGATGTAGTATCATGGTTGCCAAGGAGACAACATTCCACCAGGTACCAAATGACGTAAAAGAAGTAAAATTTAGAACTATGTTTCACCGTACGGCCCTCGACAATGATCAAAACCCATACAGCATAACAAGCTATACAATGTGCCGACATGGCAAAGGAGAAAAATCCGAACAAGAAAACTAACTGACTGATTTATGAAGAAAACAATAAAAGAAATACAATATATAGATAAGTAGATATGGTGTGATTGCCAATTAGACAACTCTCCACTAGAGACCAAATGACATAGAAGTTAACAACTATGTTTTACCGTACTGCCCTCAACAATGATCAAAACCCATACCGAATAGCAAACTATACAAAGCCCCGATATCGCAAAATGAAATCAATTCAAACGAGAAAAACTAACCGCTTGATTTATGTACAAAAGAATAAACGAAATACAATATAAAAATAAGAAGGTTTGGTATGATTGCCAATAAAACAACTCTCCACCATAGACCAAATGACAAAGAAGTACAAATATAATCTACTGCAACAAACAACAACCATTAAGTTACAGCCTCATGATTTGGTACAGGCATTAACAGAACAGAATGTGACGACCTTCAATGTGTATGCGAGAGCTAAACCCTCCCATAACCTTTGGAAGTGAAGTAATATCTAACATTAGAACAAACTAGAAAAAAATCATTCGAAAAAACTTTACTCATCAGATAGGATCATAGAACACAAAACACTAACAAAAAGACTGGAGATACAAACAGGCTGATATCCAGGCGAAATTCAACAAAAGAAATGGAACTCATTGTTAGCGGAGGTAAACATGGCCAAATTTGTGAATTTGAATTGTTTACATCTGTTTTTATGGCCTTTAAAAGTTTAATGTAGGTGCTTAGTTTATGACTTTTTGCATTTTATGTACGTGTTTATAACTAATTGATACTAATAGTATGGAGCTTCGAGATATTTGTGAACTTTTAAATTAAAGACAAATTTTCACTAAACAGTCGATAATGATAGGTGCAGATACATGTGGATCTTTTTTGTGCATAAGCATAAATTCCTCCGAAAAAAATCCACAAAAAGATAAAGCATTCATTTGCATCTCTGAACCCGGCAAACGTTTTTTTTTTTTATTTTTTTTGGGGGGGATCCTAAAATTAGGCGATAATCTCATCGAAAGATAAAGTTGGGTACACCATTTTATGTTTAGGCGTGATTGAGTTGACTTTTGTCTTCAAAACGTACAAAGCAACACTATTTGATACACCATCTCGCTTCAGCTTCTATTGATTTGAAAACTAATGAGGCATAACAACAGAGTAGGTGTGTTTGAATAACAAATTTTTAATACAATAACAAAAAGCACTTGACGACAGACTTTAAAAGTAGATCTTGACGACAGACTTTACAAGTGGATCTTACAAATGAATATCTTCATAAAATTCTCATTTTTTTGGCTGTACTATCTAGGGAAATTCGTCTTCAACCTCTGAAAATATTTTAGTCTGCCCTTTCATGAAATATTTCATTAAACATTTTTTAATGTTTTTTTAACTTTCGAAAATTCACCCTGACAACCGATCAGACAATAGTTTTAACTTCAAAAGGCATCAAAGTACATTACATGATGCGAAATAGCTAGTAGATCCATTTTTCTTTTAAAATACAACTGACAATTAAGATTATTATACTTCACGTTAAAATGCCATATTTTGATTGGCTGATACGAGGGTGTTAATTTTCTCCATCACATGGCTGAGCGGTTGACAATTTTTTTTAATGTCACCCTCTCGTCCAGACCAATCAAAAATCGATAATTTAAAGGACAATGAATTGAATTTACATCAAGTTATTAAAGACAATTCTTAAGTTCTACGTTTTGGCTCAGATTCTATTATTTGACTGTCAAAATAAAAAAATAAAACATATTGCTTCACTTCTGTTGATTTTTCTAATACCAATAACGTTGTTATGTACGTGACGTCATAGAAAATACTTTTAAATAAAATTCATCTGTAAAAGACAATAATGATAGGACATTCAGTATAATAAATTATATAACACATAGCTGAGAGGGTGATATAGCAGATTGGTGGTACCCCTCGAAAAAGCATTGCCAACCTTGGCTTCGCCGCGGTTGACAATGTTTTCTCGGGGTAACAATCTGCTCTATCACCCTCTCAGCTATGTGTTATTTATATAATGGTAAAGATGCTACGTGGATAAATGTATCGGTTTTCAAGAGTTGAAATGACAGCGCGTCAACCCTGCAATGGCTTCCATTCGCGATTGAAAAAATAGGTGGCGTAATGGGGAGATAATTTTGACGAAGTAGAATCCTGACTGACAAAGTACTATGGCGACTTTTATTGTCACATATTACCGATGACCGCGAGTAAATTTCTTCTGATGGAAAAAAACAAAGTCATAAATGTTACTTCCATAAGAGAAATCATATTACACTGTAAGGCACATTTAATGGTGCGTCGTCGGTAGTAATAAAATGAGGATGTGTGTTTTATAAAGAAATGTTGGGATTGGTTTTGAGGGCGAAAAGGGGCGAAGAGCAAACATTTTTCTGGTTTCCGGACAATAACTTGAGTAAAAGTGTATTGATTTTTATGAAGTTGTTCCACAAGGTTCCATACTACAAAAGAAAGGTTTGTTTGAATTTGGGGGTTGTGGCCGTATCGGCTTAGGAATAAGGGGTCAACAAGTGCAAAAAAAATATAAAATTTTGTTTGAATTGTTTATTTCTGCCCAATTTTGATCGGGGTTTACATAATCTCGAAATATTGTGGTTCTTTGATATGTTTTCTCTAACAGGGTATTTAGAATTTAGATTTTGTGCCGTGTTTTCAAGTGGGTCCTTATTAGGGTGCAAAATTAAACTTTGATTGATATCAATATGCTAAGTCTAATCATGTATCTAGAAATTGAATTTTGGGCCCATTTTTCAAATTGGATCACATCAGGGTCCAAAGGGTAGCGATATTCAAACACCAAAAAATTATCAATTAATTTGATAAAAGGTTTCCTACAAATTACAGCTTATACTAAAATCCTTTATGGTGCATTTTTGCAACTTCGCTAGTATTGTCCATTAATAATTACATAAATTAAATATTTGGTGTACTTGGATATGCGGAATTTAACCGTATTTTTCGTTATTTTGGGTATTTGGCCATAATAGGTAAAAGTCCAATTTCAAATTTTCCAGTTCTTTGACCACATTCATTTTGTGTCAGAAACCTATGCTGTGTCAAATATTTTAAAAATCACAATCCATATTCAGAGCTGTATCAAGGTTGAATTAGTGTCGTTACTTTTCCCAACTGTCTAGGATTCGACCTCTGTGGTCGAATCAAGCTGCGCCCCGAGGAGCATTTTATCTAAATTCAATTTGATACAATGGGTAAGATAGAATCGTTGACTAGAAAAGGATGTCTTCATTTTTTGACTAGAAATGCATGTTAAATTTGTAGCAGAAATAACCAAAAAAATTAAAGAGTGTTTTGTCAGAGGTGTAACCGTGTATTCTTACGGATGTTTAAAACTATATTGTAAAATATAGGAGTTTCTTAACTGTAAAACACTTTACCGCACGGAATAGACAATATGAGAGGGCAACAAAATACTGGTACCAAGTTGAAATTTATGATCAGTGAGACAAAGGTGCTCATTTCCCAAATCCCACTTTTTTATAATTTTTTCCCACTTTCCACTTTGTTTTCCTTCTTTTTCCAAGATCCCACTTTTTTACCCCCTACATCCCACGTCTCCATCCCCCCTCCCCCTATATCCCACATCCCCACTTTTTATCATCATCTAAATTCCACATCACAACAGCGTGTCATAATCCTCATCAGTTCACATTTTAAAATCTAATTTCGTCGAATAATTAGACTTTCAAGAATTTTCTGTTTCGCATTTCATATATTTATTACCTTACACGATTGAAAACGTTACATTTGGATCTTCAGTCAAAAATAAGTCAGAATAATGATCAATGAGGGGGCTGTCAACGGTTGCTCATTTTCCAAGTCCCGTTGTTCATAACTTTGCCCTTCTTTTCTCCCCCCCCCCCCCCTTCTTTTTCCTACATCCCCCTTTTTTTTACCTCCTATATCCCACATCTCAAAAGCGTGTCATCTCTGTCATCAATTTGTATGAATATGATTTGAAAGGTACGATCAACAGTCTACTTATTTCATTCCTAGTTTAAGATTAGAAAAAAAAATGTAGGTTTCAGCTTACAATAAAATAAATAAAAAATAGAATCGCTGTGCACACGTTTCACTTACGTAATCAACGTGGGATAACCATTTGTTATGTAACAGTTATCAATTATGTTCTATAATAAGCGGACGTCTATCATTTCCATAAGTATCAAGTTAAGTCTAAATTTAGTATTGTAAATCGTTTATAGTCTTGATAGGATGCTATTATACATTTTGAGATTAAAACCATCAAATAACGATATGTTTGAGTGGCATTATAATGTCTGTCGTTTGTTAATTGGTAGAGATTGCAAAAAACAACAATTCATTTCCCCATAGGCGACAATACCGTTTTTTTTTTTTGAAATAGACTTTAGTAATTTGATTCTTTTCACGAAACCCTGCTAGAATTAAAACAAATTATTCTGACAGCTTTTTTAGTCCAAAAATAACGATTCCCGTTACTTTTCGTAACGTAATTTATAATTATTTCCCTTGT